TAATTTAAACCAATCAGATGATAGTTGAACTGCTTGTAGGTCGAGTAAATTAGCAAAAATGTGCCATTTATTCATTTCGTAAAACCAGTTAAAATTCGAGGAAACCTCATTTTATGACACAGCAGGCATGCCTTTTATTACATTATGATATAAAGTTTGCAAACTTGTTAGGCTACTTATAAAAACAGCACGACGGATCGATTGAAACATATGGACTGAGGTATTGTCAAGATGAGAATGAGACAGTATATTCAGTCATAAGTACTGACCCTTAGAGCGGTTGTCGCATTTCTGGTCGAAATGAATGTGGTCGCAAAATTAATCAGTTCCCTCAAGAAAAACTCGTCCTCAAATAGGTGAGTTTCTCCCTCAGCAAAATTTTTCGGTAATTGACTTGTCGATAGGTTGGCATATAAGGTTTCCATAGAGCATATATTCTTGTTAAATGAGAAATAGCTTCCGCTCTCCACCTATTCAGATTGAAGCACTTGTTGACACCTATAAATGTAGTTCTGGCCACTTTAATTTGAACGTAGGGGCTTGCGATGGACAAATGTGTAAATATGAGTTTATTGTAAAAGGATCTTCAATTTCATTATTCCCACAACTAGACACGTCCGTGTATGTTCATATGTTAAAAGAGGAATGTCTCGCTGATTTGCGTACGTATTTATGCAGATACTTTGCCATACATAGCAAGTTCTAGTGTCCTAAATTATTTGCAAAACCGGTATTTAAGATTCCAACTAACTAGTTGTTTTTTCGTACTACTAACCTTATTAACTAATTGCTTGATATGAATCGAATATTTCGAAGGCTGTGTAAAACCGGAGGGCGATCTGCAAAGTTTAAGTATCACTAATTAAGTTGTAATAAGCAGGACGATCTTAATGGTCAATTAGCTTTTATGACCTCCCACATCTATTTAAAGTACAGCTTTAACTTGTGGTAGATAAGTGGGTGAATCTTCCGTCTAGCAGCCTAAATTATGATAAATATCAACCAGGTTCTAGATGCGAAGAAGACTGGAAAAGAAAGTCAAACAAACAAGATATAGCTCGTCTCCTCTTCGGACTTTTTGGTTGAAAACACCTCTCGAATCAAATAGTCAGGCAATATCACCATTAGTTGGCTTACCTAAAAGAGGGTCATTCCGCAATCTCACCGCAATCTTGGATGGATACTTTAATGCCTAGTGCTGGTTTGATTATATATCCGTAAAATGTTTTCATCAATGCCATTCAAAACAGCTAATCAGTAAGACTGAATTGACATTTCTTCTTCCCTTTTTTGAAGGTAACCAAGGTATAAGACACTTAAAGTAATTTATTATCAAACGCCTATTGATTTAGAAGTTGTTGTACACAAGAAAAGTTGAAATCCCATTTCCATGTATATGTCCCTTCTGCCTACCACGGCATTTACCTCAAAGCGAGGAGAACAAAGCCAGCAATAACACATGACAACGCTCACCGGATGCGAATGCATATGGTCACGCTAGGAATTTCAATTAAAGTTTCAAGGGACAGTCAAAACTGCTTTTCCTCAACCTCCATCCAGTCGGTATCATCTTAATGTCTGTTATAAATCACCATTTTACCTCCTTTGTGCAAATTTTTCCACCCAGGAGGTGGTGGTACTAGTCTCTAGCGTTTGGATTTCGATGCGGTGTGTATTCCATATAGCGATGGGAGCATGGCGTACATTATCGAAGGGGTAATGGCATTACCTACCATTCTTCCCACTTACCATGATAAAGCTACACTATTTTTTAACTGAAGAAATTTTGACTCATTTTGGGCTCCACTGAATACCTCATTTCACCGAGAAGGCTTCTCATTTAACCCACGCACTTCCTTTAATAACTACTGCCGACACGAACTACCCTCTTTGCATAAATTATACTTTTACATAAGCCTTCAGGCAATGCAATTATAAGGAATGGCATGTCGCGAGTCACGCTGGCTATAGCTGGAAATCTCAAGGAAAAAGCTTTTAACAATTTGGCAAGAACGAAGAAATCTACTGTCTCAAAATTAGTCAGTGTGGAGCTCAAAGCTTTCATCTCAAAACCAAGAAAGTTTTGATTAAAAAAACTTCCTCCACAAAGCGGTATATTGGGACAGAGTCTAATAAATCATTCCATGTGTCTTCAAGGAGGTACAATGAATTAAGACCATAAGACTATCGCTTTGCATTTCACATTCTTTTAACTGTTGTGGGACTCGTTTCCTTTTTGTAATGAAAGGTAAATAATGTTCGTTTAATTCGAAAAGTGGTTTACACAATTTCGAGTGTTTATCACAAACACAAGTGGTTATTCGAAATGCATTAGCAAGGGGTAATTAGAGGGTCGTATTCACCCTACGACATGTTATACGTCTGGTGTGACAGCATGCATTCGGGTGAATGTTGCATCCTCCAGATGCCGTTGGGTGATAGGACCTCTCGGATCCACCATTAAATCACAGCAAACAGTTGCTTTTGCCGTTTTCTTGTAACTAGGATATATCACGTCAACTAGGAGGAAAAAGCTGAATGCAACATACTGGTGGAGTAATAGTGATTTAATCTTTTCTTTTTCAGAGCTCAAAGTTAATTGACCCTTCTGACTACTATCGACTGATTTAAGTTGGAAAATTCCTTTTAACCTGAGACGTGAAAACTTCGGAGAGGTGGAAAGTTGAAACACCTATGCAGCACCTCGCTTTTTTTTCCCATATGAGTGTTTCAATGTCCTTCAACAATGTTGCCAAAATCTCGGTCATTTACTTTTCACCAGCTCCTAATTTATGCTCAAACTTATAGACATCCAAATCTGGCGTCCTAAGGCTCCCCTGAAGGCGAGAAAACAAAACACTAGGACAAAATATCATTGTCGATGTATAGAAGATCTGGGGGCTACTTGCATGACCTGGGGGCCAGTCCACCCGGTGAAGGTGCAATGGCGGAGCACCTAAGCATCTGAGTAACTAAAAAGTAGAGTTAAACAAACAACTAAAGTGGTACAGAGCCCCCCTTCTCTTTTGAGCTTCATCTCTGGCGTTCCATCTAGTCAGCCGCTCACGTTGGCCATCACAACGGGGTCGATGCTGTAAGGCGAAACACCTACGAACGAACCCTGCCTGCAGCTGGAATGATGTCGCACTGATCCATCCTACCCAATCCAATGAATCTGGAGTTTTGTCCTGTCCGGGAACTGTGCAGGGAGAAGAGGGAATGTGTTGGCCACATGATCTTGGGAACAAGATTCCTTGGCCATTCCTCCTTCCCGTTTTGTTCTTACTTCAGTACTGCCCAGCCATAACTACCCAGATTTTACCCAGCGAGTGGAGTGGTGGCGGAGGTGTAGCGTGTTCACTTGATTGCAATCTTTAAACGGATACCGCAGACAGCTCCTTAACCAACTTTTTCAGATGGCTCACAGCTAGTGTAGCTTCAATTGGTAATGACTTACCTGCAGAACAGAGGGCTAGGGTAGTTACCGAAGGCTGACATCGTTTTCAACCCCTCCGTTGGGAGTCGTCATAGTTTCTTCCATTCTTATCATATGCTCTTCTTCCGTCATGCTTTACGATTGAGTTCACTTGCCACTGGCAGAAATGTTGCTGTCCGAGACCAATATGCATTGCCGACGCACAGGAGGACTGGGGGGCCTGTTGCCACGGCACGGAGGCTATCCCGCTCAGCGGAAGTACAAGGGCGGAGCTTTAAGTGTCCACGAAACCAAAACCGAGAGTTAAACAAACAATCAAGGCACTGCACCAACGTGTAGAGGTAAGGCTCTCTGGATACCCTAGTGAAATGACCAAGTGAATTGGGCAAGTAGAGCCTCCCTAGCATTGCGTAAACTTCTACATAGGTGATTTATTTAAACCTGACATCTCCACCTAGCTTCGAGAGAGAGAGAGAGAGAGCAAAAGCGACTGTGGTCAAAATAAAACCACTTAATTATCCTCCTAATTTATTAGGTCATCATTTTGCCTGCTGTCGCTTTCTGACAGCTTCGACTAGACACATTCGACGGGATGCAGAGTTAATGCATTCAGGTACAAATTAGGCTGAGGACAAAAGAATGTGAGAGTCACTAAAATATTCATAAAATCTTTCCCAAAAAGGCGACGGTTTCTAATTAAGAATAACCTAGTCTCATGTTTTTTTGACCCATACTCTGACGGCGTTCCTATTTAGTTAGGAAGGCAAAAAAAATGTCTTGGAGGAGGCACTACACCCTATGGAATAGGGAAAAATATTGCAGTTATTTCAAAAGTCAACTTTAATATGAAAACCTGTAATTGTGATGGATATTTTAACCCAACTCTTCCCTTGTCATCTTTAAAGGTCACAACTGTGGTGCGTTGGTAGGTGGATTTACTGCATCAGGCAGTACAGCTATCATTCAAATCGTACTGCAAATGAAGGTGATAAAAGTTACCAACCTCATCATAAAATGTTGATCAAACAGGAGGAAGTTAATCATCCACCTCTGAGGAGTTTGACAACCTTCGGTTTCAGTGCATTTAAATGGCATTAGAGGTCTCGCTGCCTGTGGTAGGTAAGGCGGAAATCCGCGCTGCTACACCGAAAAATGCTGAAACTGGTAAATCTCCCTTTTAAGCGAATCCCCTTTTTTGGATGCGATTTGTGAAAACGTAATGTTTGCATTAATCAGACAGCGGAAGAATGTGTCTGCATTAAGGGATCTGGGGCCTGGGATGGAGGAGGGCGAGAGGCCGATGGACGGGGGATGGAGGGTGGGATGAGGGGACTACGAATGTGTATTAGCAAGAAATTTAAATCACTACTCACAACTGGAGTGCGGATCATAACGCTGACTCATTTTGTGATTTTTGCTGCTCTTTAATCACATCTACAGACATGGGGACAAATAAGGTATTCAACGCTGGTATCTCCCTCCACAACTTTCCTATAATCCGGTAATTTTTATCAAGAAAAAGAGAACTTTTAATACCAGATATGGCTAGTATGCTCAAGTGAGTCTCGACACCACTTAGCCTTCATAAAAGATTTAAGTTAGTCCCTCATAATCTTGGCTTTGTTGTCCACCACCAACCTTGACCTTGAAATTAACCAATCGCTGCGGTCAAAATTATGCGGTTTTGATGTTTAGATTCCGAGTTCACTCATGCCTATGAATAATACAAACTTTGTTTGATGTAGTTATTAGTGTCCGAAGTTATTGCTATATCCGCTATAAAGCCTACTAACACAGAGGTGGAGTCCATTATGCGTGTAAGGAAGAACTGAAGGGCACAAGGCATGGCTAAAAAGTTTTACCGTCAAGAGGGTTGTTAAAAAACAACTCACCCGGTGAGGAATCCACTCACGGAAACAACACTTTACTAATTTCCCTTCTTGACGAGATCTTTGTATTCGGCTATCCACATGGTTACTCCATAGCTGTAAAGGCTGATTAGGAGTTCTGACTACCACATCTTCTAAAGTGACGAGCTATATCAGACTGACAACCAATTAATGACCAGCTTATTCCGCACATAAGCCGCTTTTTGAGGTGAAATTTGTCTACTGATAACATTGGACAAAGGGAGGTATCCACTATTAAGAGCACGATGCCTTCTGGGGCATATCGTAGCCATGTCTTCAAGGTTGCTATTTATTCCATGATTCCTAGTCCAACCTCATCAGCTGTCAAAGTGATAAAGTGACATAAAAGGCCACAACAATGGCGTTTCTGTGGTAAATCTTTATAGAATTAGGCGTTCATGATAAGTATCTTTTCTCTTTGACCAATTGATTGGGTAATCCATCCACAAAATCAGTGTTTTTCTGTAATTAACATTGAGCGCCCCGACCGCCGACCTCCCAGCTATCCCAGACACGGTAATAAGGCATATCATAAAGTGGGAGGGCTGAGTAGCTGTAGGCATGGCAGCATGCCTACGCTGCCAAGAGGATAGCGTTAACCATGGCGACTCGGAGACCCCTCGCAGTTAAGTACTCATTAGTTCACTGCATGCCTATGACTTAAATTTAACCTGTTTGGTTTTACGCTAATGAATTACAACTCAAAGTATTTACGTTGGCCAAAATTTCGTAAAAATTTTGTCAGGGGATAAACGCTACTCATTTGCTGCTTAAGTAGCACTAAGTCGTTTCAATTTTCGCACTAAGCATTTTAGCAGCACTTTTAGGTAAATTTTATAAATCCTAAAGTGGTTTTTGCCACTACTTTTCATCATTTTTGAAACAAATCGTTTACTTTAAGGGGTTTTTATTTAATTGGGAAAGTTATGCCTCACTTGTTTATGAAACTATTAAAAGATTAAAAGCGCTTTTTTAAAAATTCTAATGACATTTTTTGTAAGTACATTATAGTTTCTGTAATTATCTGTCCATGGACTTCATCAAACTCTTCAAAAACATCGAAATTGGACCTTTAGACGTATTAAATACCCACCCGCACACTCACGCAGAGACGTAGCTGATAACAAAGACTTTGCATATCGAAATGATCCCTCAAAGCCAACATCTCGAGTCATCATGTCCCCGAATCAATGACATTAGCCTCCAGCATGGCCCACACATTTTAATCCTGTGATATGAAGTAGAGAAATTTAAAATATACAGACTAATGCTTGCTATGCTCAAGAAAAGCTCTCCAAAGCCGTTGTGGGAAGTGATAGACACAAAATATTTCACTTTACCGAGTGGTGAAGTCGAGGTGCAGGCTTACGTACCCTTAGAGCCTCATCTATGCGCTGTAGTAAACTGACATCTAACCAAGTGAATGCTTCGGTCTCTGCACCACCAAGAGGTCCTTTAAAGATGGCTCCGCGTGCCCACGGTGGTGGCAGCGCTAATGGGACGCAATTCATGTAAACAAAAATTTAAACCCCGTCAGACGAGTCATTAAATTTAGATCTGGTAAAAGGAGGGTACCTGTGATTGGGAACTGAATGTAGGGGTTCGGACAGGACCATTCTTCAGCGAGGTCCCAAATCCTATAATTCTAGGTAATCCACCTTTCTTTACAATAATACTGCCATGAATAAACACACTAAAGTGTTAAATATGTTATGTGGAAGAGGGCTAGAAGGAAGGCGTGTCTTTGAAATGACACATTTTACAGGATCCATTAGCATAGGACTTGTGTGCCTGTACGTGCATGAGTATCTTATCATCAAAAAAAACAGTGTACAAATTTTGTTTACATTCCTATTTCAAATAGAGTCTTAGTTTAAACTTTTTTTGTACATCGAAAGAAGCATGCCTGTATCTGTTTGGATAACAATCTTAACACATTAAGGACTTGCGTCACATATATGCGACGTACAGTGTGTATTAGTTTATGACAACTTCCTACCCCAAACAGTGGCTTAAATGCATCCTGAGAGTAAAAAATTCTTTTAAAGACATCAAATAATGCAAATTTAAATAGTGTTTGTCTACAGGAGACTGATTAGTTGGATCTCACTCTAATAACCTAACAGCGAACGTGTTAAACACGGCAAAGATTTTATTATTGATTTAACTCTCTTTTAAAACGCTTGACTTGACCTTCAAATCACTTATGTCGACAGTTAATGCATAAAAGAAGTGTGTTAAAGTAACAGGTAGTATGCACGGAATGTGGGTTGATGTTGTTGAGACATTGGACTACCTGCGGATCCAAGTGGTGTAGTCACACAACATCGCATCAATTCACTTAGAAATCGGCAAAATAGGAAGCCTTTTAAAAAAACGGGAAAAACGTCCCTATGTAACACTGTGCCAACAAGTAACTGCTTCTTTCATTTCACCGTTCATGCCACAATTATGGTCTGATATAACTCATCCACTGCGCACCACTCATTGAGGTCTCACTGGCGTAAATTACGATTTATTGCAACGTAAAATTGGCAAAAGGCAGAACAACTGGATCAGTTGAAGAAAAAAATTTGCCCTAGCTGTGCGTATATATCCGCAATTTGTTTAAGGGAGTACGCCCCTGAGAGGCGAAAACCTCGAGTTTCCTAGACCGTTAGTTTCCCCTTTTGTTTCTCTACAGAAACAAAAATGATATAATAAGATAAGAAACTTTCTTTTCAACTTTTTTTGCTCTGCGAAACTAAAATGAGGTGGAAAAGCTAAGCGCGTCTCCACTCCAAGGACGGCTTAAAAACAAATGAAGCAGATGCAGTGAATTGGAGTAGCGACAGGAGCCATTAACTTTGAGCCTTGATTTATCTAAAAAAATCCCTTGTCTAGTTAAGTGAAGGGCTAACAACAGGGAATTACTAATTAGAGCATAAATAAATATTTGAAAATTAGGTGGTAGATTCTCACTTATTCAGAATTTTACCAAGCTTCACTCTTTAGCCATATTGCCGTTGCTGAGCATCTACGGCCACCGACGAAGAACGGATCAGATCAGATTGCCTTTTCTTTGTATTTACCATGGAAAAATGTTTATTAACGAAAGTTAAAGAGATTACTTTGCAAGTGAATCCGTAAAAGCCTCCTTTAGGCAACCGATAATCGCAAATGAGTGGTGAATTCACAGAACTGTCCGTCGGGGGTTGCGACCAATAAACGTGTAGACGCACAAGCCTGGTGGGTGGGCTCTTCATTGGGAATTGTTTATCATTCTAAATCTGTGCGTTAAATTTTAGGCCCTTTTTGATCCTTACAAATCAGAACGATTTAAGTCAGCCACTTTTGCCCCATAGAACGTGAGGGAGAGTGGAAGAATGTAAGCTATTGTCTTATAACCAGATTCAGAGTACATTCAATGAAGTAAACCATAAGTGCACAAGCAATTAACGTTACCTTGTTAATTTTTTTTCCTTAAAAATAAGTTTTTGCCATTTCGTTTGCCCACTTGTCAACAAATTGGACTCACCTTCAATATATCATGGGAAAGAAACAAGCAAGAGTGAACTGCTTCCCAGAGCTGCCCATTCCTTTTCCTCTGTCTAAAATACACACAAGATAGTTCCAAAGAAAACCTAACTTTTCTGTCATTTAATATGGCCTATTCCCCCTTTCCCCTTCTCGAGGTAGTAAGAAACATGTGTGGGGATCACAGGGCTACTTGACTTTATTTATGGCCCACAGTTGTGTATTAAGCTCGCACTGGCAAAGCAACGTTGCTACCTTCCTACCTGCTTGGAGAATTATCTAAAGCCTCTTGGTCTCTCCTTGCCACTGCCTTCAGGAATCATCTTTATTATGGGCAGTTATATGGTGGAATGCATACCGTGGGTAACTTGGACTCCATCAGTCCAAATTAGAACCCGTATTCTGTGGTCCATATTCACATTCAGGTCTAGAATTGCACACAAAACTTCATCCAAAAGCATCCTGAGTAAAGTAGAGAAAAGCGACAACTTTTTTCCTCCCAACTTAAAAGGCTACGAGAAAGTCCTCAACGTATTTAAAAGGTGTTAAATTTTTTGACACAGAAGATAACAGTTTATTAATCGCTAAAACAAACTGCTGGGATAAATGACAGAATGTGCTTCTTTTCCATATATGACTGAAGCGTAATGCCTTAGTTTTTTTCTACCTTCTCTATAAGTAATTGTTATTGTCTTCTTTAGCAATATTCTATCCTTTAATAGTCTGCCTTACATTAATAAATCATTCCCTAAAATGCTATTTTATCTTTGACTAAACTTTTTTCGGAAGGAAAAAACGTTGAATTTAACCTTTAAAAGGAGTTCGTGATTATCTAAAAACGGTCTTTTTCTATGTCAGGGGTGATTGGTAATTTCTAATGCAATGAATCGTCGTCCTCCATTCCTAAGAAGCAAGCAGATTTGACTAAAAGTAAATGAGTGAGTGGGAAAAATGCATGAGATGCAAAATTCGGTCCTGCCATTATTTAAAATTTCTTTTGAAGAAATAAGTCTCAGTTAATTTTAGCACAAATTTCATAACCCAATTTAGATTGTCTAGTGGGAGTCAGTGTGCTATTTTATAGGAAGTGGTGAAGTTAACGATGGGTTCATTCGCTATCTTACATTTTTGGAAACCAGCTCATAAGTCCTAAGTCGTTTTAACAATAACCATTGTTACACTACTGTACTGGAAGTCATACCGCAGTAGACGCTTTATTGCCGACCGCTCAACGGCAAATACTGCTATTCCATCAGAGCGAAAGCCCTACCTTGGCTTATTTTATAAGTTTCAGTGGCTCCATTGTTAGGCATTCTTTGTGAATGCAGCAGTACTGAAGACGAACGAATGGTTAAAAATGAATGCAGCCAATGAGCTAATCGGTAGGAATCCGATCCGCATTCTCACCTTTCAGAGATCTCCTCAACAATTTTTGTTAATTGTATGAGATGTGTGCATATAATTCATGCCTTTCTCCCACAAGTGACTTCAAATTGACCCAACCCACTTCTCTTACCTTAGTCATCTTAATTGTAGAGATTCGCGATGTCACTCAGTTGGTCGGACACTCCAAACAAATAGCACTCTGTTTCATCACCTTTGCATTCCACAAAGGTTCTTTTTCTTCTTGGACGACCTGCTGAAATAAAAGTGCTCCAATTCTTCCTTTATACTTCAAATGGGTTAATACCGCTTTGGATTTGAGCTTTCGTAAGAAGGGGAAAATTTGCTGGCTTCCCGCAATCAGCAGAATTGAGCGAAGTTGCCAACTACTTATCATTAACTATTTTATCAGCAAAAAAAATCACTATAAAGTCGCACAGCGAATTATTTTGCATTAATAATTAATTAAGGTCTGCTGGAAGATTTGCATTTGTGGCTCAGGGGAAAACATCGCCCAGACCGTGCACGCTTAATTGCATTGCAGTGAATCCGTCAGCCTTAAACGCCACTTCACAACCCGTAATCTCAAAGCCACATAAAAAAACATGGATGATTTTACACTTGGGTAGGAAAAAAAATGGGAGGGACTCTTTACATTGGCTTGAAATTTATTCTGAAAAAAGGCGGTGGAATTTACTATGAATTGTGGCTTTCGGAAACACCAGAACTAACGACCCGGGTAGAGGATCTTTCAATGGGTTTTATTTCAATATTTAGACGCACATATTTTAAAATCGGTGGTTTACATTGACAGCAGTTCAGTTGTTTGTTTAGTCATCCACTTGGGGCTCCGCGCTTGTATCTCGGTGAGACGGTCTGATCTCCAGGCAGCGCCAGTAGTCTCTACACCCAGCCTTTCAGTACGGCGGCAGTATACATCTTACCCTTACATTACGTCTCCCTTCGTCTTCAAAGAGGTCTTGGAACTCTGTAGCAGTTCCTTTAAAAAGATTTGTTTTAAGGTGACACTGAGTGCTAGATCTCTGCCCCCAGTTCTCAATGTTTGTTATTATCTCTCATTATTTCCTGGCAATTCGGATCTCAGGGGTATTTAAGCTGCTCGGAAGACATGGCTTAGTTCAATCTGCTATCCTGACCTGACAGAGAATAAATGTTACCTTTCTTGCCAAGGAAGTCGGGTCGTCACATATGTGTGACACCGATGGCGAGTGTCTTGCTCATAAACATCAAGTCCTACATTAGGATGAATATGCTTTTTTACCCGCTTTAATGTTTCGCTACTTTATTTCCCCTTGTACCTCTAATGAGCAAGTAAGCCTAATTGTCGAGCATTTAGACATATTTATTGTCATCCCCCAAAAAGGAGCAGGCAACCGGGCTGCCTCATAAAAGCCCTATTCACTTTGCGTGAATCAGCCGAAATGGTTAGAAGAAGGAGGCCTCTGTTCCCGAGTTCGGGGGTTTACGCAGCACGCAAAGCCTGATTAGGGCCGGAGATGTGAGGATTTAAGAGCCTTGCGTGAGGAGCACCGTGATGTGGCAATTCGCCCTTTCCATTCGCTGATAGACTCCCCAATCTCCACAGCTAAATATGATTGTGCAGAATTAATAATCATTTGGCTTTATATGGAAAAGAATGCGGAAATAATAAAAAAATCCCACAAGTAGGTGGGTTACAGTGGAAGAAAAAAATTTTAGAGGAACCTACTGGTGGGTAAATTAACCCCGTTCCCTTTTCCAAATAAACTTACATTTTTTCCTGTGCCAATTTATCCAAAAAAGCGGGGAAAGTTGACTGTTTTTTGCTCTTAAAAGTATCTCTAAGCTGAGAAAAATTTCTGTGGTTCATTTTTATATGTAAAATATTCGCTTTTCGTGACGCTACTGTGAGCGGCTAAAACCTGAATATATATATTTCTATTATTCCTTTGCAAAATTTGACGTAATTAGCTGAAAAAAACCGGGATTTTTCCCACAAAATTGTCTCAAATGTGGTCATTTCCTCTAGATTTTCTAAGCCCTAAGCCACTTCTGATGTCCAAAATCCCGCATTACTAAAGGTGAGATTAAAACAAACTTCACTCTGGTAATACAACTGTCTTCCTCGCTGAGTCGCCTTTCTGCTCCAGCCACTGCAGTGTAGTCGGCGATTTAAAAAGTCGTCTTGAGTTAGCAGTGGTAGTCATTAAAGTTTCATAGAGGATCAGAGGGTCTTTGATCCCCTTCGTCAGTGATGCATTTCGTCCATCCTCTGGATTCCAAACCTTTGCTCTCTTTTGTGAAATGCTTTAGAGGAGGAGTCGGAGGGGGCGAGGAAATCAGGGGGCTTTTGCCACTCAAATGTGGAAAATGTTGCCCGAACAAGTGTAATTCATTCACCCATTCCCATCCGTGAGGTATCTAGCCCAACTCCAGGGCCACAAAATCGCCTCTAGGAGATAGCATTTTGTGATCGCTCCTCCTTGCTACTTTTTTTCAATCCAATGCTTTCCGAGTAGTCTTTTCGGGGTCCCTTCAACCAATGTTGAAGGTGGAGGAGGTTGGTCTCTCCATGCAAATCTTGTTGACACCTCCATTAGAATTGCTTTTTAAATAGTTCTTGTCAGGTGTTAGTTTCCTCCTCTTTCTTTGCGTCCTGCATGTCACGTAATCGGGATAACTGTCAAAAGCGGACGTGACTCCGATTACCCTTCCCCGGGTGTGAGTCTCCGCCACTTTTGTTCTTATCAGAATGTTAATGTTTGGGGCATTCTGTGCGGGTTCCAGCACTTCCTCCGCGTGAACAGAGTTGACACGGTACTCCGGGTCACCGCTAAAGAGGTTGTCACTCATAACCGAAGTGGGAAAAACGATTTCAGTATGATCGTAGGGAACGGCTTGACGTTAATCGGGAACACTGACTGACCTACCACCTATGTGACAAACACATGTCATTATTTGCCAGTCATTCAGATAACACTCACTTTATTAAGGTCTTTTCTAAACAACATCGAAATCCTGCCCCACCTCTACCTCAGCGATTAACAAGAAGGTGGCTGTGCGTTTCAGGTGGTTTCATTTTCCCCTTCCGTCGTAGAGACTTGTCCCGTAGATCCTCCCACTTAAGCCATGAAATGGAGTTTGTTCACCTCTTCCCTCTAGAGGGCTCATCTTTTATACGAGTTTATTTATCTCCCACAGATTCCACGAATAAGATTGTGTTTACGTCTTGATAAAAAATTGGTAGCTTTAGTCTCCCAACATCGGTCATGCCCTTTTTAAATGGCCTTTACCATTTTAAATGCCTCCCCGCATGGAGGTGGAGGAGGAGGAGGACGGCCGAGTAAATTAATGACTATTCGTAATGCCTGGAAAACAGTAAAGTGGGTGGATAACATCAGTCTGCAGCCTCTTCCACACCTGAAAATACTTAAATAACCTCTTCCGGGTTGTTCTTTCGTCTGGAGTGGAAATTGCAAAATACCCATAAGCAAAGTCGTCCATTAAAAAAGGCGGAAAAGGGGAAACTTATGGTTTTGGGGGACTGGTTTTCTGTATCACTTTGCTTGGTGCCATATTGGGGATGAATCTACCTGCCATTACCTAGAAGAAGTCGGTTATTACTAGATCATCACTTTATCCTTCTACAAATCTTGATTGGACAGTTACTTGTTTAAATGGTGGAGTCACATGACTAGAAAAGTGGGTGGTTCAAAGAGGTGTTGTATTTTCCCAAGTAAATGCAGTCTCTCTCTCCCCTCTGCTGCACGTCAAAGCTTGGCATGTCACAACGCGTCACGCGTGGAGAGAATAGGCATGTCCAAGGGCGGGGTGGACAAGTGAAGTTACATTTGTAGTGTCAAATTGTTGTGGCAACCTGACAGTGGAAATGGATGTGTGGAAGACGTTCAAATTATTCTATTTGTAGTTTGAGCGAGAGCCAATTAGGCTGCGGTTCGGGAAGCAGCGTTCTCCCATTGGTTAGTGCCACTATTAGACTGAGGCGTGGCTAACCTCTTCCAAATTACAAGCACACGCATACAGCCTGCCTTCCACAAACCGAGGCGTTGATGTCTACGCAACAGCCGGGAGTGATGAGCATTTAATCATGCTTACCGAGGAGGTTATGCTGTTGGTTCACTCGCTCCCTGTCAATGCAATAAGCGCCTGGTAATGACACACTGGGAGAGCTACATAGGCTCTTTCAATCTCCCCTACTGCTTCACTGACCGAGGTGCAATGTATCTTCGTCTCATTCAAATGCGATTGACAGAAATCTCCTTGTTAATCTGTTGTAAGTACCTTCGAACTTGCTTTAAATAGCTTCACTTTATTGCCTCGCCAAGTTCAAATCACCTCATTTGTCTGTCAGTTCAGATCATTTTATTAATTTTCGCGAAAAATATTCTTTTCTGCACAAACTAAAGCGACTGTTTAATTACTAAAGTATACAATATTTTATTGGGACGTAGCCCCTTCGGGGCATGATCTGTGCAAGTGTAAAAGCACTTTCAGACCAATAGAATTGGGACCCCTCAAGGTCAAAAAGGAACCAACCAATAAACTCACAGTGCTCACGCACCCAAGGTAGTCGGTAGAGATATAAAGGATTATTGAATTACGACAATTAATAAATTAATTCTTTTTCATATCTTAGAGGTCTTTAGACCCCCAAATTTTTCACCATCCACATTAAGAGACAAGCAGGGCTGAGGCAGCCCATCACCACCTCGTTGTAATTTTGTGCCCTTTTTAGATCTAATCTAAGCCTTAAGACTAAATTTACCCCTGGAAAGCTTACAAAGCCCCTAAACTTCTTATTAATTGCTCAAATAACTCCACCTTGCTACTAATGGCTAAATGTGTTTTCCCCCTAAAAAAGCATCATCAAGACACACCTTAGTTCATTTCCAAGTCAAGAAAGGACTCTTCCAAATAGTCAACTTTAAAAAGTGGATTGGAGAGGTTGAATCTCTCATATCGAAGCAAAAACAGGGAAGTCGAGATGGGGATGTTTGAATAGCGTATTAAGTCAATGCGCTATGGGCGGGCAGTAGATTTAGGCACTCGAGCTTACACCGGAAATGAGAGGGAGACTTTCGTCCTCCATCTCGAGAACTTCTCTACTACCCAAAAAAGCGTTTGATTTAACCAACCGCTTTAATGGATACTCTTACATGCTGGAGTGGGCAAACTGGGCGCCTCCTTCTTTGGGGACCACATAGTGACCCCTCGTTGTCTAGTTCATAACACTCTGACCCTCAATACTGGAGCAGCATAGGTGAAGAGTTTTCAGGGAAAATTAAAAATTGCTGACTGAAATTAGAAGTTCGGTAATTTACAACTGAAATAATGAATTCTGACTTTATAAGAACCATATGTCAAAACAACTACCACGCCATCCTCCTCAATAGCCTGCATTAGACGAGGCTTCCCCAAAAGCAAAATAATATCTCAAATTTCCATTTTAAATACGCACTGTATAGCGGTCAATGACTACTTCACTACTTCAAAAAGTCGCAGAAAAAAGCGGCAAAAAATTTACTTTCTTCTTTTAAATTCCTGTGCGGCCTGCCGACGTGGTGGGAGTCTTGAACTTTTCCCCATGGTGGAGTTTAAAGGTCAAACGAATCTCTCTCCCAAAGCAAAGTGCTTAACCCAAGAGGTGAAGAAACCTGTTTTTTGTTCTGGGCATTAAACCACAAACAAAGGGAAGGAAGTAGCCATTCCTACCTATTAACTAACCAGCTATATTTGGGAGGAGAGGGGCTTTTTTCAGGCATTCGTGGTAATTAAAGCTAATTTGTTGCCACGACTCCTTCCTGCCTTATAGAGTAAAGGAGTTAGGCAAGTGTATTTGTTTACTTAGTTATGTGGGTAAATTAGTACCCATTGTCGACACTTCCTAGGTAGTAGGAAAAGGGGGTCATCGTGATCCCTTCCCAACCCCATTCCCCTTCACTTTCCACCCCCTTCCCCTCTCTTCATCGCCCCAAACATGTTTCGGGTGATTTCTTCGAAGTCGGATCACCTCCAGGTAGCACTACACTGACTATCAGAATTACATAACCCCAGAGTTGTAAAAATGGGATGCGGGGAATTCAAGTTTACCGGAGAGATGGGCGAAAAAGATACTGATTCTTGTATTCGTGTAACCATAAGGGGAGAAAGGAGGGGTTGTACTGCTCTAACATGACAGACAATAATATAAGACTATACAGATATGTGTTTTGCGAAGGAAAAGATTTTTAGACAAAAATTTTTACAACCCGGATAGGCAATTTTACCCCTAACCGAATATAAACGAATATTTGCGAAATGTAAAATGGAGGCGTCGAAAAGGACAGGCTGCACTCAGTTTGCTTCAAAGGTTCCACCTGGTAAAAAATATCCCAACATTTTTTTGTGTAAAATTGCAATTAAATCGGAAAACTGTTTCGAAAGTAAAATACTACTGGATTGTGTTAATAGTAGCATTTGGTTCCCTCTAATGTCCCATTAGATATCTTTATATAATAACTTGCCAAAGTTCCTATTCAGGAGATAAATGGCGAAAAGGGGCTTGCTTGCCCATTCGAAGATGACGTCTGCTTTTGACTGCAGTAATGAGCCACTACAGAGTCGCTGTTAATGTTGTGAAACCACTGTCAGTGAAGGGACTTCAAAACTGTGGAATCGTTATTAAAAAATGGGTCAAATCAGCCATCTTTGCAGTTTTATCCGAACTGTTACAGCGGATTCCACGAATGTGTATTGTGTGTTTCCAAAAGAAGTAGAGGAAGCCAAATCCTCAGTTTAGATGGGTGTCCCCTTGGTTACAGCATGTGGAATGCTTCGACATTCCTTT